CCCCCCCCCCCCCCCCCCGGCTACGTGCATGTGCATATATCCCACACAGCGCCCTCCCCGCGCCACGGCTGCCGACATGACCAAGTTCCACTCGGACGATTACATCAACTTTCTCAAGCGTGTGACGCCAGATAACGCCCGGGATTATGTCAAACTCCAGCAGCGCTGTGCGTGTGCCCTCGCCACCACCCCATGTCGGAGGCAGGCCCCCTGTGCTCCCCGCTCACCGGCGACTCACCTTCTCCTTTTTTTTCTTCCCCTTCCCCCAATATTCCCTGGGCATAGTCAATGTCCTCGACGATTGTCCGGTCTTCGAGGGGATCTTCGAGTTTTGTCAGATTTCTGCTGGCGGCTCCATCGGTACGAATCCCAAGCGACATGACATGTTTTTGACGTCTCCCAACCCCTCCCCTCCCTCTTGTGTGCATTACTCACCCCTCCCCCTCCCCCTCCCCCTCCCCTCCTTCGGCGGTGCCTTGTCAGCCGGTGCCATGAAGCTGAATCACGGCGAAACCAACTGCGCTGTCAACTGGGCCGGCGGTTTGCATCATGCCAAGAAGTGTGAGGCGTCTGGCTTTTGCTATGTCAATGACATTGTCCTGGCCATCTTGGAGATGTTGAAGTGCGTGTCTCTGCCTTTTCCCGTGTCTTTCGCTTGGCTGACTGTTTGCTCGGCCTGCCCCACCGAGTCCCGTATATATATATATATGTATCTCTTTCCCTCTCTCGTCCTGCCTCTAATACCCAATCGCCCCTTCCCTGCCAATCGCCGTTCAAATCCATGGTCATCCGTCCTGCAGATACCACCAGCGTGTTTTGTACATCGACATCGATGTGCATCATGGCGATGGTGTGGAGGAGGCCTTCTACACCACCGATCGTGTGATGACCGTTTCCTTCCACAAGTTCGGCGAATACTTCCCCGGGACTGGTGATATCCGCGATGTCGGCCACGGCCGGGGTCGGAACTACTCCGTCAATTTCCCTCTGCGAGATGGCATCGATGATGCTAGCTACGAGAGCATTTTCAAGCCGGTGCGCTCTCCGATTGTTGGCCTTCCTTGGTCACCATGTTGTGCTGTGTTGTTTTTCTTCATTTAAAAGGGAACATGCGTCTGACACACACACACACACACACGCACATCCTTCTCCCGGGCAGATTATCGGCCGCGTGATGGAGTGGTACCGGCCAGGGTCAATTGTCCTGCAATGCGGGGCTGACTCCCTGGCCGGGGATCGCCTTGGGTGTTTCAATCTTTCTAGCCATGGTGCGCCCTGTTAGTTTCTTTTGCTCTCGCACGCCCACCGGCCGCATCCTGCATGTTGTGCTAATCTTGGCAAGGGCCACCTCCCGGGCACAGGGCATGCCGAGTGCGTCCGCTACGTACGGAGCTTCGGTCTCCCGACGCTGGTGGTTGGCGGCGGCGGGTATACCATTCGTAATGTCGCCCGCGCGTGGACCGCCGAGACGGCCGTCGTCGTTGGTCGCACCCTGCCGAACGGTGCGTCCCTTTTTTTCCTTTCTTTTTTTCCTTTCTTTTTTTCCTTTCGCCAGTCGCGAAGGGGGGAAGGATACCATGCTCTCACTGCATGCGCGCCTCTGCCTGTGGACGTGCGACTAATTTGCGACCTTCCCCCCCCCCTCCCCCCTTGATGCGCCATGTGTGTATGTACGTGAGTGCAGAACTTCCCTTCACCGACTACTTTGAGTACTTTGCGCCAGAGTATCGTCTGGACGTCCGGTCAACCAATATGGAGAATCTCAACAGCCGGCAGTATTTGGAGGCCTATACGGCGCAGATTATCGACAATCTGCGCGAGGTAGCCCACGCCCCGAGTGTTCAGTCGCACATCACCCCGGGGGACCTGTTGGACCTCAGCGATCCGGAGGATGGCGAGTGGGACGGCGAGGGGAGCGACGAGGAGACCGGCTCCGGGTCCGCCGGGGCGCGCATCTCCGCGTCGACCACCACGCGCCCGCTCAATTCCAACCCCTTTGCCTTCCACCACTCGCGCGAGGCGGCCGCGGCGGCCATGAACTTCGAGCGCCTCTCTCTCGGAGCCAACATGAGCGGTGGCAGCGGGTGGGGCGACACCCCGGGTGGGCATCCGGTCTTCGGGCTGAACTTGCCGATGGACTCGGACGAGTTTGCCGAGCGGATGGACGGCCGTGGCACGCGGCATGTGCAAAACTACTCCGAGCTGTCTGTGCCCTTCCCTGAGTAGATGCGCGTGCAGGCATGCGTTGCGGGATGTGACCCCCTTCTTCTTTCCCTCCCGCTCCTCCCTCCTTCTCCGCCCCCTTGTGTGTGTATGTGTGTGTGCACACATGTGCGTACGTATGTGCCTGCACATGGGCGTGCCATGGGCGCCGCCGTATTTTTTTTTCCCTCTGCGCTCGAACACACGCCTCTTGCTGCTGTGTATGTATGTATGAATATGTATATAAAGATCAAACAATCACGTATGGCCCTGTGCTCTCTCCCCGTCCCCCCCCCCCTCCTTCCTCTTCTCCCTGGCACCTGCGCTGGAAAATGGCGCGCGGTGTTCCCCCCCTCCCGCTCGTATCGGCGCCGGCTCATAAGCTGCAGGAAGACACGCGTAGGGGGCGCGCGGGTACACACAAGCGAGCAGGCTATCTCTCTTTGTCTCCCCCCGGGTGCAATGCAAGAAAAGGGTGTTTGGGTGGGTGTATTGCTGCTGCTGGAAATGCGAGCTGACAGTGGGACAAGAGGATGCTCTCCCTCGGGGGGGAGGGAGGGCAACGTATGCGCGCATGTCTCATCCCTTCTCGCTCGAGGGGGATATTCACTGGAGATGGGAAAGAGAGGAGGAGGAGGAGGGGGGAGTTAGAGAGAGAGGGGGGGAGAGGAGAGGAGAGTAAAAGGAAGAAGAGGAGGAAGAAGGGGAGATTTGTGCCCTCTATTTATTCACTTTTGCATATGAACCGGCATAAGCGAACGGTAAGAAAGGCTATGTTCTTCCATCTGTCGTGAAAGTGCGATTGGCTCACCTCTCACCAAAGGAAGAGATACAATTGGTGGAGGAGCGCCGACAGTGGGGGAGAGAGAGGGGAGGAGGGAAAGGGAGGGGGGGGAGGAAAGCAAAAGAGCGCAAAGTGGGGGAGGGGGGGGGGGGGGACGTACGTCGCGGCAAGGGGGGGGGGGGAGAAGCAACGGGCGCGGCCACGTTCGGTCCTCGGGCACCTTTCTGCCACCTGCACGGCGTGTCGTCGCCTGCTGGGCCTGAACATACTTCTTCCTTGTCTGCAACTGTGGTCGACACATGCACGAATCCCGGACGCCTCCCTCGCCCTCTCAAGCATTGTATTCCCCCTCCTGGCAGACAGGGAGAGCATGTGGTCGAAGATGCACCATGCAGCTGCAGGCGCTTGATGTCGAGCACAGTCACTACACCTTGACCACCGGAGAGGGGGAATGCAATGTTCAGACGGCAGAGCGGACGGCGGACACCGGTCATATGCACGGGAAGTACACAGGAGCCGGGGCAGGCGCACTCGGGCGCACAAACGCCCCGTTGACGGAGGAGAAACGCATGGCAGGAGAAAGCAGGGGAAGACGCACAGCCAGGAGGGAGACAGGAGGGGGAGAGAGAGAGAGGACAGACGGACCAACTTCCGAGAAGGGGGGAACAGCCCCGCCGTCAGGAGGAAAGGCACCCGCCGCTTCTGGCCTCCCACTCCCCCGGAGAGTCTCCCCCCATGGATGCCTGCTTATATAGTGTGCTCGCGTGGTGAATGGCATTCCTGTCTGGGCGCGCGCGCACTTTGCCCCGGCGATCGGTTGGCACTCCTCGGCCAAGTCGGGTCGCCAATGGCCTGCGCATGGCATGTCCGCCTGGGCCCTCCTCGCGGCAGCTTGCGACACTGACGACACACCAACCTCGGCCGCCCTGTTGTTGGTGGTGTCGCGGCCGGCCGCCGGCCGATGCTTTGCCCAAGGGGCCCCCGGCCGGGTCGCGGTTTCTCCCTCTGTCTCTGGCCCTCGCTCTCTCTCTCTCCCCCCACTCCTGGGGCTGGCCCGATCGGCGCGCAGTTTCGCCCGACAATGCTTGCCATTGCCGGCCGATCCGCAAGACCTCCCCCTCTCCCTGCCGGGGGAGATCCTTCAGGCTGCACCTGGGGCACGCCTCGGTTGTCAGAGGTATCCGACACCCTGCTCCCCCCCCCCTCCCCCCTCCCCTCCCATACATATCTTCCTCCCTGCCCCCCCCCCCCTTTCCCTCCCGTTGAACGCCCAGCGCACATCCACATCCGCACCATGACCGTCTTCCACGATGAGATCGAGATCGAGGACTTCGAGTGGGTCGAGCTGAGCGGCCCCGAGGCCGAGGATGCCGGTGGGGGCTACTACGAGTACCCCTGCCCCTGTGGCGACACCTTCCGCATCACCCTGCGTGAGTTGGAGGACGGCGAGGATGTTGCCCGGTGCCCGAGCTGTTCGCTGCTGATCCGTGTCATTTACGATGCCGTGCGTATTACCCCCTCCCCCCCCCCGCTGCCCCATTCCCTCCTCTCCTCTCTAGCTGGGATTCCATTCCTCGCCACATCTGTCGCCTTCTCTCTCTCTCTCTCCCTCCCTCCCTCTCTCTGACCGTGCGCCTCCTCTACCGTCCCAAAATGGCTCGCTGCCTGCCTCCCAGGATGACTTCCTCCCTTCCTAAGAGAGATGGCCCCCCCCCCTCCTCCTTTCCTCCCTGAGGACAGCCTAGAAACAACAATATAAAACCCTCCCGAGTGATGGAGAGTCTGGCGTGTTTCCCGCGCCTCGCCTTTCGCAGGGGCGGAGAGGCCCGATTTGCCCGCCCCCCCCCCTGGTGTCTCTTGTTCTGGAGTCGGAAGCAGCTGATGGTATGATCACACCTCCACATGCCCACGAATCGATTCATCCCGCCGTTCTGATGGACGGGGAATGGTTCGCCCGCATTGTTGCTGACGGAGCCCGCCGCGAAGAGCCAGGGGGGGGGGGGGG